ACTGATCCACACCAGCAAGAGGAGAAATGAGGGTCCCAGTCTCATGCCTAATTTGGTAGCTTACCTGGTGATAGGAGCTATGAGATGCCCGCGGCAATAGGGCTTGTGTCAGCAGCTCACCCTAGCAGAAGCCCCCCCCCCGGAGGTGAAGGAGATGTGGAAGCGCTTCATGTGAAGGTCCCTCTCCTGAAAAACCCAGTATGAGTGATTACTGAAGGCCATTTCTGAAGTTATTTCTATAATGTGCATTTGCTGAAAATGGAAGAAAATGAAAGATGCTAATGTTCGAATATCGTGAAGCTCGATATCATACACATAAGGACGTTTCACATTTAACTTAATGAGTCACCGAAGTGTTCACTGACCAGTTGCTTTCTTAAACTTGGAGACTAATTGTTTTTCTTATGCAGGAGTCTGTTCTGTATGTGGCTTTCCCGCCTTAATATGTAGGATATTACAGCACTGAAAATATTACTGATGCAGATTTTATTCCCAGGCCATTGAGTCTATTTAGATATGTCATACTCATAAAAGCTCATGTTTATTGAAGAGGGTTATTAAATTTACGGTAAGATTTCATAAAGACCCTTTTAGGTGAAAAATGCAGGTAGAATGTTTTGAGTGGATGCTTTATAAACCTTTTATGAGTCAAAAAAAGTTCTAAATGCAAATGTCTTTCATGGAAAGTAAAAGTAATCTGTTGTTCTCATTAGGTGCCAGATAGTCAGCTAACGTGAGGATGACAGATTTTGAGATCTATGAAATCAGAGCCAGCCTTCTTTAACAGAGGACTGCTAGCTCCTTACCTTCTCTATCAAAATGAACATTCCATTCTGAGGTTAGGTACAGATATATAAATGTCTGCCTGGTTTGGGAATGGTTCTGTTGGAGCCCTAGATATATTATTGAGAGGATTGCAGTACACTTAGTTTAAAACACACACACACACACACACTTATGTGCGCACATGCACGCACACACACACACAGTTACAGAATACACTGTAATTAAAGATATTCATCACTATGTTCATTTGAACTGATACAATAAGAGTATCTCACACTGTTTCTCTTCATTACTATGCAAGACCAGAGCTTATATTTCTTGATTTGGAATAATGCCAGAGAGTCATTTCAATATTTGAGCTTTATACATTATTATTAATCATGATGATGATGTACTTTTCAATATTCATGGGATTTTGCAACAATTTTTATTAGCTGTGTCTCTTAACAGCTAAATCAGGTCAAGAAAAATTACTACTACTCTTGCAGGTGAAGAAACAGAGGCACAGAGAGATACATGACTTCTGGGTCACACACATGGATCATTGGCATAGCTGGTATCAAAACCCGCAGTCTTGTATTTGTACATTCTGACACTGGGGTTCTTCTCACAAATTCTTTTTTTTTTTGAGAATAAATTTTCATATTAGAAGTTTGAGATATATTTGGGAAGCTTAAAAAATACCGAGTAACACAGTGTTGGGCACATAATAGGTTTTCAATAAATATTCGCTAAAGAAATGTGTAAATATTTGTTGGCAGTTCAAAGCATAGGATTTTAAAAATAATGCTTTGTGTAAAAGTAACATATTTTGTGTTAATTAATGGTAATTGGAATAGGACACCAGTTAGTGGGTAAGTTGGATATATTGCCTGTTTCAGAGTTAAGTGATAAATCACTGCAGGATAATAATGAGAGCATATGTCTCCAACAGCTTTTCAGTAAAGGTGTGGTGCTCTAAACATAAACTAGTGGACCAAAGAGATAGTGAAGATTTATTTGCTCTCTGTTGGCAGAAATAGATTTCTTTCCTTAGCCTAATAATGAGGATGCATTAAAAATGTTTATACAATAACCTCAGTTAAAATTATAAAAACATGTACTATAATTAAAATGCCTACAAACCCCAAAGGGCCATCTCAGCCTTAATATCATCGAGACAGATTGCATCCCACGAACTTAGCTGTTCCCTGTATATGGCAGAAATGTAACAATGGTAATGCCATGTGGTTTGTGGCCACTGAGGAGACAAGCACATTATCCCATCGGTTAATCTGTATCCATCAGTGTCTTTGTGTTTCACTCTCATATTGCTTTTGAAATGTCTGGATCTGGTGTCTTGACAAATTCTAAGTTAGGAGGTTTAAGTATAGTTTGCTCAATTTTTATTCAAAAAGTATATAACATTCTAAATGTTCTTTCTTTAAAATTATGTTGTGCAGTTCTATCACTGTTCAAAGAAAATGTCTAATCTGTAGGGGAATGCTGAGCTCCGTGGTATCTTTGCTCATTGCTTCCTACTATAATGACCAGGCAAGCTGGATGCTGTCCGTGTCATCGAAGGAGAGCAGGATAGATATTTGTCTCTGTTTTTACTTTTAATCTTTATTGAAATATAACAACATACAATGTATTATTAGTTTCAACATTTGTCTCCATTTTTAGACTATCAGATCATTCATCATGGGATCCACTTTTTCACACTTCTTGGATTTTGAATAATTTAGTAAAATTAAACAAGCCAATTTGCAGTTTGTTTTTAAAGGTATTATCATAGGGAGTACTGGGAATCATAATTCTAAGCTTAACACAACCTGCACTTATGCAATGAAAATGTTTTCTAACTAGACTTGATTGTTTGGATCCAATTTTGACCTTTTGCCCTATCTGAATCACCTTTGGCAGTCAAAGAAGTAGAGAAGGGAGGAACTCTGGACCAAACAACACAGCCTTTTTATGCCTGAAGGTCTGATGGATCCAGGGCGCTTGAGATAGTCCTGTGTTTCTGGGGACAATATTGTGTTATAGCCTCATGATGAATTTGGGGATTCACTTAGCAAATGCTTATTGTGTGTGAGGCACAGCACCGAATCTGCTAAGGCCTCAGAAAAGAGTCCTTATAACTAGCATCTGCTGTGCTCTCATTAATTAAATATGTTGACCTGGTTTGGGGGTGGCCTGAACCTAAAATCCTGGAGGAGAGATCGCACTCCAGTGACACTGGCAGCTTGGGAAGAGCCACATTGAAATAAGGCAGCAGGGGTCACCCATAAAACAGGCATAATAACAGCACTCTGTGTATCATGTTCAGTAAAATATTGGGCAAAAGAATGTATCCGGGCTTGTGTGACAGCAGAGTCTACTTGTCCCTGTCACCATATCATCTGCTTTGCCAGCAATACCTTTCCAATGACTGAGCACATTATGCACAGTAGGTGGGATCAGAATGTTTTCAGGAATCTTTAATGCCTTCCTATCTTGTGAATGGTTTCCTTAGGCAAATACTGATTTCAAAACATGTGCTTCCTTAAGAGTACACTTACTGTGATAAGCACAGTGTAAGATACAGAATTGTTGAATTACTCTATTGTACACCTAAAACTAATATAACTATATTAATTATACTGGAATTAAAATGTAAAAATATGTGCTTCTTAAATACACAGTTGTTTAAGGGGCAGTCACGTTAAACGGGTACTGCAACTTTAGGGTTTGTTGCTTAACCATTGTCTCTTCCTCCCCTGCACCCCACCCATGCTCAAAAGAAGAGAGAAACAAAATCATATTGACACACAAAGAAAACAAAAACCAAACTCCCCAAATGGTTTGGGTCACTTACTCTTGCAAAGACTGTGGCAATTCTCAAATCCGGAATCACTATTAACTAAAAGGAAGTTTTGCACCTCTCCCCCACCTTTCCACCCCCGACTATTTGCATAGTTGTAAATAACATAAAATCAGACACTTGCAGTAAAATTGCTTTTCTTTTTTGGGGGGGGCAGAGGGGAAGAGGGAGAGGGAGAGAGGGAATCCCAAACAGGCTCCACACCTAGTGCAGAGCCCGTCACGGGGCTCGATCTCACCACCCTGAGATCATGACCTGAGCCGAAATCAAAAGCCTGATGCTTAACAGACTGAGCCACCCAGGTGCCCCAGTAAAATTACTCCTTTAATTTTCAAAGTCTACAAATCGTAGGGAAGGCTCTTTGCTATTGTGGTTGTAACATTGTAAAAATCGAGTGAAGAAAAATGGCAACAACCATAGCAGTAATGATAGCTAATATATAATGACCACGTGCTGTGTGCTAGTTACTTTTCTGAGGGCTTTTATGTATTTGCTCATTGAATACAAGTAACTGTGAAGTGGGTAGTACATTTAGCCCCATTTTATGGATGAGCACACTGAGGGACAGAGGGGCTTAGTAATTTTCTAAGATCTCATAGCTAGAAAGTGACACAGCTGTGTTATGGGCCCAAGCAGTCTGGCTCCAGACTTTGCATTCTTAAATACTGAACTCTTCATACGCTTTTTTGTAAAATCATTCAAGTACCTTGTTTGGCTTATGTTTTACTTATCTGGTAGCTCACCAAGAGAAAACATCTACATGCATACTTGTTTCTTTTGGCTTAATCTTTCTTGCTTAAAAATTTCTCTTTTTGAAGCCATGCACATGGCAAGAAATTAGAACTGTGCAAAGAATCCAGGGTAAAGGAAGTCTCTCACCCAGCTGTGTTCCCTTTCACTTTCCCTAGCTGGAGGCAAACCTTGTCCCCAGTTGCTTGTGTATCCTTCTAGAGATATTCTGTGCACATGCGAGCTTATATTTCAAATCACTTTAAAAAAGTGGTTGAAGTTTCTGAACAGACAGTTTTACACAGCAGCCTACTCACCTCAGTGACTCCAAATGTGTCCCAGAAAACCAAGAGACCCAGACACTTAGATAATCTTATTCAGCTGGGCATATTGGCTGGGACACTCAAGTTTCTGCTGTCCCCAGCTTATGGGAAGCACAGTTAAGAAGGTTATAAATATGACATGTTTAGTCTACTGGGACCCAGGTAGACACTGTGCTCAGAACCCTTGGCCATTTGCTACTTACAGCACCACCGAGGAGTGTCAGCAGAACGTGCTTCAAAGACAGTCTGTCCCAGAAGAAACACAGACATTTTTTTCCAGTGGGGACACCAAATTCTAGTTAAGAAGAGGATGTGTCATACTTACCTGGCAAGAGAGATACCATCATCACGAAGGTGGTCTTCTCAGAGTGAGGCTTATCCATTGCACAAAAGGGATGCTGACCTCTGCCGTTTCCCCAACTGTGGGAAACTCAACTGCATAATTTGAGGTGGAGGACTGTGTTCACACTTCAAAAAAAAAAATAAATAAATAAAGATGATGGTCTATGTGTACAAATCAAGTTAAAAATATGGGAATTTAAAAAAACAACTGTTTGTTTAAAAAAAGTGTATTTTCATTGATCTAGCAAGCGCACTTCTAGAAATTTATCCAAAGACTTAGCTACATGGTTGTTCATGACAACCATTTGGGAACAAACCAAAATAACCCACAACCGAGGCCTGGTTAAATAAATTACATTAACTGAAGAGAGAGTCACCTAACCATTAAGAAAATGAAAAGAATATTAAGTGATATAAAAAGTTGTTTACAATACATAGCTAAGTAGAAAGAGCAATATGTAGAGAAGGATGTATACAGAACCACATTATTTATTGGATATGGGGAGTGTAATACGAGAGAGACCATGGGCGAGAGCTAGTGGAACGATTTACAAAAATACTAACCTTTTCTAGGTGGCAATAGGCAATTTTAATGGAGGCTTTTCAGTGCGTCTTTAAAATCTAAAAAAAAACAGTGAATACTTTGCAGCTGTATTGAAAATAAAAAAGATTTTTTTAAAAAAAGTTTAAGAATAATTGATGAACTCTTCAAGAAACCAGTTGTAGATTATTTACTAACCATTTATTTAAACAGCTTTTTCTTGGTTATAATCTAATATTTTTTTTCAAACATCTGCTAGCTTGTCTGTCTCCTACCTTTGAAACTGAACCCCTTCATGATTCACTGATTAAAATAATGTGTGACCCCTTCACAATGTCTTAGGACTATTATCTGGCAGGCAATTATAGTTTTTAATTTAGATGTGTTGCCTGAGCTTTGTTGAACAGACCCCAGACTCCTTCGGTTTGGACCTGCTGGTAATAGAGCAAACATTCACAGGACTTTCACTTGTCCCTTGAACTGGGTGAAGCGTTTTACTAGTGGGCTCTCACCGAATCTCTAAGGGTCACGGACTACCACTGTGTTCTCTTTACAGATGCAGAAACTGAGGCTCCAAGAGGTTAAGTAACATGCCCAAGGTTATAGAGTGGATAAAGTGGAAGAGCCACTATTCCACAACTTGGGCTCTTAATCAGTATAAAAAGCTATCTTGCCACCTATAAGACTGTGCCATCTCAAATCTGATGATCAGAGGTTTTTAAAGCATCTTATAAATCCCATTTTGTAGACAATGAAATTGGGCCAGGAAATGGGTGATGTGTACATGCTCAGAAAGATAATCCATGGAAAGGCAGATACAATCCAGCATCCCCTGGGTCTTGTCTCTGCATTTAGTGCTAACTCACTTTTCAGGAGAACGTAAACCAGCCCGGCGTCCTGCATGGCACTGTGATGACATAAGGGGAATGTGATTTTTGAACCACTCAATAATGGAAGAGATGGAAGTCTTCCCACCTCATCTTGCTTATTACTGATTGTGCACACAACACCCGCCCATCAAGATCATTTTCAAAAGATGATTACTTCAGTGTGCCCAGGCCTGCAGGACATAAGTACATGGGCAGTGGTGGTAAGAGCTATAATTATTCTTAATGAAAATATGCAGGTAATGACTTGGATGATCATGTATCTGTAATGTATGAGTTCCAAAGCCCAATGAAGTAATTAAGCAATCTGCAAACATGCAGGGGAAAAAAGCCGGAAATGAAAAAGAACCAGAATAATGTTCCTTTTGAATAACCGGCAAACTTTCTGAAAGAGGAGTCATAAACAGAAGAGCTCTTTCTAATCGATCGCTCCATCTATCTACCTGTCCATCCTTCCATCCATCTTGCTTGCCTGGTCTTACAGGCAGATATTTTTTCATCTAGAGTACTAAGTATTTGTTGGGGGCCAGTTTTTCCAAGTTATCGGCTCGAAGGATAGTATTTGTTCTTTCTGGAATGTGAATTTGCATATCTTTATCCTTATTGAGTGCATTCACTTATCTGAGTCCCTCTCTTGCTCAAGAGCAATCACAGGAGCGAGCAGGAATAGTTCCCACAGATTGGAAGCTCTGAGTGTGAATTCCACCTCCTCTACTCCATGGTTGACCTTGGTAATCACGCTCTTCTTTAGGGTGATGATTCTTACCTCACAGGCGGGGTTCCAGGAGAAAGTGCTCCATGGTGACAGAGCTGTGAGCTGTGTACCTATTAAGTGTAGCCATTATTATTATTAGAGTAGGTTTCTTTTTCCTACTTCGTGAATGAAGAATCCGAGGCACAGTGATTTGTCCTAAGGCATGGAACTGGTTGGAGGCAGAAAACTCAGATTTTCTGCTTGTTTTGAGTTCAAGGTGATGTGTTCTCAAAAAAAGAGAGAGGAAAAAAGAAAAAGGAGAGGGTTTGGTGGTTGATCTCGGGGATGTGATAAGCCTGGAGTTGGTCCGAGCATCAGTAATAAAAGATTTTCTAACAATAGGCTCTTTCAAATGGTGGGTATAGAGAAACTATTTGTAAACATGGAAACCAGTCCAATCAAAGGGGGTACTTTTGAGGAATACTAAACCAATATATTAGTCTTCTGAAGGATTTATAGAGTAAAAGGCAGAGAGGAAATGGCCAGATTAGGGCTGTCTAGGGAGCAATTAGCAGCACTTACCAACTATTAAAGCACTTTGTCCTTAGAGAAAACAACAGAAATTCAGAGAGAAAGGGCTTTTTTTCCCTCCCCTTTGAAAATGCAGGCTCTCTGATGCTTAAAGCAAAAGTGTTGCTGTGAAGTTTGCAAGAGGTTGTCCTATGATTAATTCATGCTGTAGCTTTTAAGTTTCTGTATAGTAGTGTCTTGGGTTATGATTTCATCACTGTCACTAACAAAGCAGCTTCAGGCCAAGTCAGGATTTTAAGCTGGGAGACCTTGAAGAGCCCACAGAAAATGTTGACGGATGTTAGTGGTGGCCCAGTAGGTGGCAGCCTCCCCTCTGAGTTAATGCTTCGCTGTTACCTAGCAAGAGACTTGAGAGCAGGTGGGTGGGGGGAAGCTTCTGGCTTTATTTACTAAAAAAAAAAAAAAAAAAAAAAAGTCTGTTTTTTTTTTTTTTTTAAGGTGCACTGGGGAGAATGGGAAATAAGGAAGGTATGGTATTAAAACTTTTCCCTCTCCTATTCATATTGGATAATTACTTGCTGGCTTCTACATACATTTAGATAAAGTGCTTCTGATTAAAGGTTGCGTTGTTTTGTATGATGCCGTGCTAAAATGCTACATGTTTCTCTCACTACTGAATATTCTTATTATTTTGTTAACATTTTATAAAAGATACTGGCTTTCTTTAAATAAAAAGGCAAGTAAATATACTACGTGCACAGATATAAACTTAGTTTTTTTGGGGAAAAAAGTTTTATTAGTGTTTCATTCCATCTGGGTGAGAAAAAATCATAAACCACCCTCCCCTACCAAGCACCTGTGAGCACTGACCTATGGTTTGTGGTTGCAGTCACTCCTTTGGAGCCTGGTGTCCTTACATTTCATCCTGGTGCTCACACTGTCCGTCATCTCATTCCTGCTCCATCCCTTGTTGTTCCTGGGTGAGGTTGGCTACTTCTTCTGTTGCATCTGAAGTTGCAGGTCGAGGCTCTTAGGCTACATGTCTCTATATTTCTTGGATAAGGAAAAGGAAAGAAGCAGAGAGAGAGAGAGAGAGAGAGAGAGAGTGTGTGTGGGGGGGCGGGAGGTGGCAAGGAGAAGAGCTAACATTCACTGATTCCTTATTTTGTACACTGTACTAGTTACAAATATTATCTCATATATTTCTTAAATGAGGGGACTGCAGGTAATGGGAATGGGATTGATACTGTCTCCACTTCAGGATGAGGAAAATGAAGGCTCAAAGAGATTATGTAACTTACCCCTGGTTACTCAGCTGGTAAGAGCCAGGATATGAGATAAAAGCTTTATGTCAGGGATGTTCAAATTTATTTCTAATTCCCCCACTCCATTTTAAAGGTGTATTGGCATTTACCCTTGGGCTATGTTGAACAAGTGCTTTGTCACCAAAACAAACCTGTTGTGAATCCTTTTGCCTTAGTATGATATATGCATTTCATCTTCTTCAAATTAAAAGCTTTTAAGAACCAGAAATATGCAGTCCTGACTCTCAACTTGAACCTAAGCTACTTGTACACTAGAATTCAGACTTGTATGGGCATCTCTAGAGGACCTGGTCAGTTAATCTTTAAGGGTTCATTTGCATGAGGAGGAGGAGCCCAAATTTGGACAAAGACATGCCTAGAGATTGGAGGAGAAGGGTCAGCAAGAAGTCTGTTTCTTAGGATCATTCAGCTCAGTCAGAGTGATGGAAATTAGGGATTAAAAATAAAATCTGAAAGAGTCATTTGAAAACTCAGTAAGACATGTGGAGCCCTCTATACTGGGGACTCATGTTATAAAGGAGGTCAGAAAGGTATGGAGGAGAAATGTTTCTTCATCTCAGCCCCATCCAAATGTACAGCATCAGCCATATCAGTTTTGACTTTGACTCTTTGGAGTGTCATTAGCAAATGAGAATGGTGGCCTTATCTTGGTGAATGTGTTATAGGGAGAGAAATGTTTCGTAATTGTTATTGTGGTGATGAATCAGGGAAACCCCAGTTATCCAAAGAAGAAATAACGGCCGAATGCTTTGTGTTGAGTTTGGGATTTTGAGGCAGAGGGCTCTGGGCATGGTCTCAAATTATACCATGAGGGCAGCTCTTACTTGATTTACTCAAAAGGCAACTCTGGTTCTCACCCATTTAATGGGTCTCTTGAGGTGAGATTCATGAGGAGGTAATGAGCAGACAAGAAATCTTGCTTAATTAGGTCTTCAGTTGATATTAACATGATATTAACATGATCTGTATTCCCTTTTATTCCCCTTTCCTGCCATCTAACCCATTTCTGAAGGGCAGAGTAATTAGTAGAAAAAAAGGGACAGACCTCATCCAAGCTTCGTGATGGAAATATGGGTAATGCTTTTCCAAAAATAACTTCCAGAGGGAAGAGGACATGATTGCTTTTGCCTTCAAGCATTTGAAGACCTATTTT